ATATTATTACCCCTTGTTTGAATTTGCTGAATTCCAGAAGAAAAAGAAGAAAGAGAAAACGAAGAGCATAGTTTGAGTTTGCCAGAGAATTTAAAAAATCTAAAGTTGGATACTTAGTAACATCATTTGCAAAATTAATTTAAGTTAAATTTGCACCACGCGCTGCCTGGTGAAATAAATTGTGAAAAAACTTTAAATGCTTTGCTTAAGCTCTAGCCAATCCTATAAACAGAATTTCGCAGAATTTTACAACAAACAGATAGATACGTTCGTTCGTAAAGAGTTGTGTCCACTATCGTCCCAAAGTAGATGTTTGAGAAAAAAAGTGTTTAGAGTTTCAACTAAAAGGGTCTCCCTTCGAGAGCCTCACCTCAATTGACTTGAAACGTTCGGAAATTATTCGTGACATGGTAAACTAATAGATTGAAAAAATAACAAAAAAATTGATTTTATGAAATTGTAAAACCCACGTAAACCCATACCATCCTTAATTAAATGGTGTTCAACGTAATAATAGGCGATGAAAAGTAAAACTCAGATCTTATTTTAAATCCCTGTTATTTAAATTTCAAGTCAAGCTCTTTTTAGAGCTCAAAAGCAAATAAGAAATTCTCCTATTCCTAAATATAAACTCGGATGCCCAGTTGAAAAGCCAGAAGCCTACTGTTTAGTGCATCCTTCGGATTTAAATAATACCTGTAAAAAAAAGATTCATTTGTTTTGTAGCCACTTACCAAAAGGTTTTTATTGGCCTATAAACTAAAACTTTTCATCGTTTTCTTATGGCACTTACTTTCTTCACAAAACAAAAAAATCTTAAGCTATTTAGACCTTTTCTGTACTACTTTAAGCAGCTTCATCACCTGCGGTATTTCCACTTCAAATACTTTTTAAAATTAAAACCAATATCTTTTCTTTTATAACATTACAGGCGTTTAATTTTCTGAATGCTGGAAAACTAATTTCATAATTATCCAGACATGTGTTCTAAAACTAAAGCTGACATATTGCATGACATTGTTTAAAACTTAACTTTTAATATTATTCTATTCGGAATTGCTGTTCAGACCATGCCTTTAAAAATATTTTGGTTAGATTGCAAGTACGATTGTTTTCTGCTACTATTACAGTTTTATTCATACAAGATTTTTCGTAAATTTTCTCAATCCTGTCGTTTATCACTGCATTGTGAAAGAAAAAATTGCTGAGAGAATTTTTCAAGGAATATGTGCAAACTTTAAAAATGCTTTAAGCCACAGTAATCAAAAGAAAAAGCTTAAAAGACACATTTTTCCATCCAACCTCGGTCGACTTGTTCCATAAGAAGAAAAGCGCAGCCTAAGTGTCTACAAAAGCAAGAAATTCGAAGAGCTCTCGCAAATTTTCCAAGGCAGGAAAGCTTTTTCCCCACTCCGCAGATTTTCGTTTTCAGATTCATACCACAATAAGAAAGTAGAGCGAAAGAAATAAAATATTTCAATTACGTCTTACACGTTTGGATTTTATAATATGAGTGGTTTTACGGGCCGTGCAAACGCTATATGTTATTATTTATTAAAAAAAAGTAGTCCCAGAAATAGGAGGCATATTAGGATTGACAACGGAACGTAAAGCTTCCGATCGTATAAATGAGTTTGAAAAGTTTGTAAAGAAGATTGAAATGCGACATTCTATTCTTTGCCTTTTGTGTTTAAAATTTTAAAACAAGTAAATAAACTAAAAAATGCACCCACTGGCTTATTTATGTTATTATGCCACACTATCTTCTATGAGTAAGCACATAGATAGATGAAATTTCAACTAATTCAAAAAGAAACGCAGAAAGCGACAAGTGTTGGAAAAATTTCACGTTATCACCTAAATCCAAGCAATTTTAAACTGCCACGACACAATTGTACAGAAAGTAATACTTTTAATCATTTAGTGAAGGTCAGACGATTTAGTGTAAGGAAATAAAATATTATATTAATACAGTCGGAAAGTTAGATGGCCAGAGATTTTCACGGATAAAGACACGTGTCATTGCAAAGCTTGCTAGTTCGGCAATAATGGAGAGGCTTCACTTGCTATCCAACAAACACGTCGCAGACAGTTAGATTCAAGAAATACACTCGCAAACGCCCTTACGCAAAGAGACGGAAGATCCAAGCTTTCTTACCGAGCGGGCTGATGTTGTGCCCAGACCAATTTTATGGTATGGTTAATAGTATGAAAAAAAGAGGAAAAGAAACAGTCACTAAATGAATGTTACTATGATCTTGATTGGGTGCGTTATATGGTGGTTGTATGCTGCTGCGTCAAAGATGACGTCGCATAAACAGATGAAGTTGCTATAGATGTATTTGATTACGCCGAAGTCTCTTAATGCTATTCCAGATTTTGCCATTTAAGACGCCATAGCTACAACTTTTACATACATTTGTAACATTTTATTCTCTGCTTTTTATTCGCCTTAGTGGCCGAGTAGGCAAGAGTCTCGACTAGCAACTCAATGGTCGTGGGTTCAAATCTCAAGTGCGGTAGAGTTTTTATTAAAGCCGAAAGCTAGTGCTTTAAGACTTAGAATTTATTCTCTGGCTAAATTTATAATAATAATAATTCTCTGCTTTAACTTATGCATTCTTTTTTTTGACTGATGGCGTTGTGTTTTTTTATAAGAAATTCTTTTACTTGGATTTTATTTAAAGGAAAGAATAAAAATTCACACTTGGAACCTCGTTAATTCCCATAACCATTGCCACTTACAACCATTTCGACTTCTAACAGCATTTTTCACAAGGACGAACATCCCTTGTTCGAGAAGATGCTCCTTTATACATTTTCCCGATATGTTCAATAATGATGTAAATGATCTGTTGTTACTTTTTTGTGTACGCTTCTTTCAATTTAATTTAATTTGACATACTTATGAATATTTTATTAGAATTAAATATTTTTTTAGAGTCTAACACACACAAGCAATTTATGATCATAAGCAAAAATTTAAAACACAGTGTTCAAAAAAATACCCCTTAATTATGTTTTGAAATAAATACAATGTTTATTTTTTTCTACTTTTATTTTATTTTACTAGATTTGTTCATATTTTTGCAACAATACTGGCGTTAAGGCATTAATATTTTTCCAACTTAATGACACTGTTCCTATCAATAAAAAAAAAAAGTTGAGACCATTGTCCTTCGGTACACCACTAAAATTTTTATATTATTTTCTTGTTGTACGTTTAACATCTGACAACGTCGTGAAAATTCAAAGATAATCTGCTATAACTGCTCGGTTTCATTGTACTTATCTGTGCTTCTTTCTTTTGCAGTCAGCTTTTGTTTTTTTAGCTTCTTCAATTTATAATTAGCGGGAATTGCTCATGGTATATTTACCGAATACCATTTACCAGTACATGAACTTCTCAAAGCATGCTCTTCGCTTATCGTTTTGGCACAAAACCAAGTGTAGAAAAAGTTAAGAAAAAAGTGTTGTCAACTAGCGTGAAGGTAGAAACAATAAATGTTATCACGATCGGAAAAAAGTACGTGGAATTTTTAATAATGCAAATCTTTTAATTCGTCAATAAAGTTTATAAATTTTTGAAGGGTTTCCCTTAGATTCAAAAGACTATTAAATCAAAAATTAAAAGATTGTTTGCAAGCATCCGCAGTCCTTGCAAACGGCTTCCAATCCTTTTTTCTAATTCCATTGCGTTCCATTCCGTTTGAGACAAGCAAAAACCCGACACTATGACGTGTCAAAGGCATTAATAGAGATAGATACAATCTGCACAAGAATAGACATTCGAATGCTTGCGATATTGTGGCCAAAAGTTCAAATACTTCTTTTCTAAAAATGAAATTGTTTTTCGCGAACATGCTACCTCAAAAAAAAAAAGAAAAAACTCTACCACTAGTTATAATGCGAACTTCAAATAGGAATTACTATTTTGAAAGGAATGTAAATCGATTAATTTTCATTACTATTTTCGAAGCATTATATTCAAATAAGGCGAATTTCAACATTATATCCCGAACGAGCTGTTTCGACATAAATTAAATAATTTTGTAGCACTGATATTTTCTTGATTGCTTCATGTTAATGACAGATTAGACTATGGCGTAATCTCAACCATTATCTTTGAGCGTTTTACACATAACACTTATGACGATATGGCGAAGACTGTTTTCATAATTTTTCAACATTTTCTGCTCGAAGCTCTACAGGAAACTTTGAATTTGAAAGGAATTTTGTCATAAATCAATGTACGAAAGGTTAATGTTTTTATTATGGTTACCGTTGACCGTACCAATTCAAAAATTAGTCATTTTTGTGAGCATTGCTTAAGAGAATTTCTGGAGTAGATGACTACAGTACTTTCTTGTTAAATCTTTGTCATATAGACCTTGCCTTTTGAAACTTATAACGTATAAACATACACGATCTTTTTCAATCTCCTGCCTTACAGCAATTAGAATCTCATGCTAAAGAAAAGTATATGTAGATATGTAATGCCACTTGTGAATAATGTGGAAGAGAGGGGAAAACTGGTATAACTTGACATTATAAATAAAAAATACAAATTTCAAATAACACTTGCAAAACATTGAAACTACCAAAAATTTAGCATTAGGTTAACCAAAGTCATACAAAAACAAACATTCGAAATGTTCCCGATTGCGCAATATTTAACTAAAAATGTTGCAATTTTCCTACGGTTAGTTATATTGGTGAATATTGAAAAATCACCGTAGAAAAAACGTTGCTGTCTTATGTTTTCTTACATTTAATTAAGATTTTCTCAACTACAAATTATTTTAAATCGTAGGAAGCTAGAGTTATAAATCAACGAAGCATATAAAGAAATGCATAGCTCATATTCTTAATAAATAATATAACATAGCAAAATTCAATCCATCACACAAATGAGCAACATAAATTGTTGTTTCAAAGAAATTCAATTAATATTGCAAAAAATATTACAGTTGTCATCGGATTACGTATTTTTAAAAATTTTTCTCTTCGATGTAGTTATTTAAAAATTGCTATAAGAAGCTATATATTATCGAAGTGGTGTTGTAGAGACATTTTTTTTTTTGTTTAAAATACAGATGTTCCTATTGCTGCGGTTTTTAGGAGTAAGTGGGATAACAATGAATGACAATGTAAAAGTGATGTTAATATCTTCTTCAATATCCTAGAGAAAAGTGTTGGCCTACCAAAATAGATATGAAAGAGACGTTTGCTATCTACACGAATATATAAAGTATATATCAGGCTCTTCAAATGCGCTGATTATCAGCTTGAAAAAAGAGGGACGTCAGGAGCCCACATGGAAAGATAGAATGGCTGATCAAGACAAAAAAAGTTGGTCGTTCTACATATAATGTTACAGCAGAGGAGCCTTTTTACCTTTTGTTTTATTTTATTAAGATTGGTCATGAACTGATTATTTGACTCGTGACAATAATTCTAGGCATAAGTATATTTAGAGCCCTTGTGTTACAGGTTATCATATATCTATCTTTTCATTCCACAGGATTGGCTGATTACCGTTAGTTAGCAATTTAGAGAACTTGGTTTGGCGGTCAATGCCTAACGGAGTAAAACCAAACAGGCGAATATTGTAAGATACAATACAGTACGCGACTGTAATACCCGATCTCAATGATAAAGCAATTCATAAGACACTGCATGCCCTCAAAAGATAATTGGTGAATAGATTTACGGCGTTAAGATGAGAAAAACTTCTGGTTAACGATAGAGAATATTTTTAATAACGTGTATTTTCTACTTTTCGTTATCTTTCTACGTTTTCTTTTGTCTTTTATACTTCTTTTTTAAACAAAAAGGAAAAATTGTCCGAAATTACATTAAAGCATCGAAAACACTTCTTTATCAGCAAATTACGTTTGCTAAGAAATAAAAAACACTTGCATAGTAAAAAAAAGCTTACATTACATTACTAAATTGTATTCTTTTTACTTTTTCACGAAAACAATATCGCATAACAACTTTAGCCTAACTTTTAACGAATTATCACGTGGATGGCATATGTAAACAAAAATTATAATTTGCAATACAACCTCACACAGTTCTACTTTCACAATAACAAAACACATACGATACTAGCTTTACCAACCATACGCGGTAAATTTTAAGAGATCTGGTAGCACGAGTTATTTTCTTTCGTGATAAAGCGTCTGCGCCAACAATGTCAGTGAAAATATTTCTGTCGGTAAAGAGTAGATCGCAATGTGAAAGAGAGGAGATTTCGTACGAAAGTAATGTCCATCATAACAGAAATATAATTAAAACATATAAAAACAAAATAAAAAATAAAACGAGATTAATCGAATCTAAGCAATTGAACAATATTGCAAGTTAATGCATACTAAAAACTTCCGGTAAATGTTTCATATGCGTGGCTGTTTGCATTTCTTTTTATTATGAGGGATGCATTTTATGCAAAAAAAGTGTCTTAAGAATTACCATTTTATCGTCTCGATATTTCACAAAATTTCAAGTGGAAAAGTCTTATAAATTATTTAATAACGTCAACATTAAATTCAATTTGCGGAATTTTCTAAAAAAGGTATTCCAATCAAGTTGCAATCAATCATTCATGAAAAATTAACAATTTTTTCTTTTTTATGTATGTTCATTTTTCTTACGGTATTATTGAAGAAAAAAGGAGTTTATATTCCTTTTAATTTCGCATCGTTGTGTTCACCAAATTAGGTCGTATATACGTTTACTAGGCAACAAAAAAGCCCAAGTGAGTCGAAAAAAAGAACAAAAATGCTCCGAAGTAGGTGATTATTGAAAATTTTTTGATTTTCTTAATACAAAATTTGAAACTTTTTTGCTCGAAGATTTTTTTAATGCCCTAAAAATATGCTAAGAGAATTTTTAGAACGCTGCATAAGTGTAACAAATTTGACGATCAGTATACGTAATTTCTACAATTTCATATAAAAAAGGATGATTACTTTTGCCGGAGGTTTTCTTCACAAGGCATTGCTTTTGCGGACCATATGTTCCCTTTGTTCACTACGTTAGAACATCGTCTAAAACTTTTGCATCTAAAAATTTTCAAGATTCTTATTATGATTACCAAAGATTTTCTAAATTATCTAACAGAAAAACGGTCTTCAAACTGGTCTCCAATTTACTATCACTTCGTTACTTGCAAACTTTGTGATAGGCTTTATTTCTCATGCCTGCTGTAAACGTTGTCTATAGATTCTCTCAGCAACATCTTATCTATTAAATTTTCTTATCTATGATTGTTTGTAATCAATTCAGTAAAATAAACATTTTTCCGTTTTTTATAAACCTTCTCCGATTTTGCTGTGAGAGCGTAACCAATGCGTTTTATTATTTATTACTAAATACGTATTATTTTGTATTATTTTCTCTGTATTACTATCATAAATGGCTTTAAATATATTCAATTCATTGAAATCATTACAATTAATGCACAAAAAATCTCGATTAATAAATAAATGTTGCACTCAGTTGTATGCTAAAATTTTATGCAATTTTAAGCTTCCTAACACAATTATCATGGTGTCATACAATCGTTACTTCTATGAAAGCAATATTGTAAGTATCGCGTATAAAATATTTTAATTTTTTAATTTATTTTAATTTTTTGTTTTCATTTTAATATAAATAAACTTTTAATTTGATAAGTATTAAATCATTATAATCTTATTGTGTTATTGTTTAAGCAAAATTAATAATAACTATTGCAATATTTTAGTTCAACTATTCAATGCAGGACGTACCATCGGAATGCGCTGTATCCACTTCACTAGGTGTGAATAGTACAGACATGCTGGGCAAAAAGTATTATCGACACGCAGCCCATCGGTAAGTTAAAAACTCTAATATTCCAATTGTATAAAACATCTAGTTTTTTAATATGTGATATAATGTGAATATCTCATTTCGTGTACGTATACTCTGAAATTATTCTTTAATCTCTATGGTCATTTTAGATGGTTTCCTTGAATTTGTAAAGTTTTGCAATGTCTTGTATAGGGGGATGAACCTTGAAACCAGATATTCTTTTCGCACTTGGTATGTGTGAAAAGCACGAACATCTACGTACTTCAATTTTCATGAAGATCTCTCCGTCAGATTATTTCTCTTAACATAAAAACTACTATGAAGATAATATCAACTTGAGCAGAATTTTAGAAGTCATTTAAATTAAGTCATCAGTAGTCGACGTATTAAAAATACCTTACCTCACAAGAAACGACAGTTTCACTAGACTCGAAAATGTGTGTCTTATGATAAACTCAAAGGCGTTTTTCGGCTAAATATATTTTTGACAAATTCCCAAATTCTCTCTCAATTTTTCTTCTTTTTTTTGATCGGTAAGCTCTAATGTGCAGAAAAAGGTTAAAACGACAAGCACGACCGAATTAGTGTAAAATGTGTTCTTATTCAAAAATTTCAAAGTTTTCATGTTACAAACGGAACGGTAATCTTATTCTTCTATCCTCTGATCGCAATTCCAAAAATAATGATATATTCGTCGCATCATAATTTATTTTTACAGCTTAAACCAAACATATAAAGTTTGTAATGGTCAAAATGGCTTAAAATAATTCCACAGTTTATTATACTAACTTATCCAGCAATGTTATAGTATTTCTATACCGTTAGCTGAAGCGAAGAGAAATCTTTCTGGTTTCAATACAATATTTTGTTTATTAGCTTTTTCCTTTTCTTCACCTCGATATTATGTATCAGAGACTTTACAAAGCGTTTACACCAAGCTGACTGATTAATTTCGTAAGTTTCGTCCACCAATTCTCTATCGGTCCCGTTGGTTGTTCAACGTCGTCGAAATTAGAATAAATAATTGACACTTGGTGTACATGTTCTGACATGACTATAGCTCAAATTTATGGATAGCCATGGGCATCCTATAAACGTACCCGAAAACCTGCTAATTGCAACTTACAACCGAAGTCGATCGAAAAATTTTCAAGAAAATCAAAACACTATTAAGTGAAAAAACCAATTTTCAATCTATAACAGGAGATATTGTTAAAATCAGACGATTAATGCTGCGCTCTCAATTCAAAGTATGTTTTGTAATTCATATATATTTCGTATATCTCATATGCGTGTTAAATGCTTCTATCGTTCCATCTAAACTAACGCTTGATGTCTAGTTACCTTTGTGGTTCCAAGGATCCTTTCGGGCTGTACACGCTTTCAATTGGGTGAAACTTTATTCAGCGCTGATTTGCATCTTGATAACAACTATGGTAAACTCGATGAATTTTTGCTTTAGTCCACAAATAAGATGTATTATCATATAAAATTGTTCGTACTTTTTTCTACCATCTGAAAGTACGACGTAAGGTCGAGTTCTCGTTTTAAATGAATTTGTGATTATATCAAAATAAATAGTATATGCTTTCGATCGCCATATAACAGACAAATAACACCATGTACCACCGTCCGGTCGAGCTCTCTTGGCAGTTATGCAGATGCAAACAGGCGTTGTTAATTTTTATATTAATAAGCAGTGCACATTTGTCCCTAGAGAAGCTTAGATGACCGGGGGTAAGTGGTTTTGGTTTCGGGCCCTGATCACTTCTAAAAAATTCGTATACATGTAAGTTTAACCGTTAAAAACAGAAGATGAAGCGATGATGCTACCTAACCCCGGTCAGTTCGGGAAGCACGTATCTTCTTGCGGGTGCCACCTTTTTTACCCTTTAATTAAGAAATAATAAGAAGAATATACTTAGAGAGACACAACTTCTTTAAATAAAGAGAAAAATATCAAGTCTGACCATTGCTGGGAGCGTCATTACGACGAATATTATAGTCGAACAATTGCTTAGTGCTACCATATAATTTACAATTGGTAATCAGCGACAAGGTTTGAAATATCCGTCAATCAAGCCAGAAATTTAATGCTAGTTAACGACCTTTACGCGCGAAAAAACCTAATCAGCACTCGACCTAGGTAGCTGGTTAACTAATTACTTATTTTTTATACTTTATTATAAAAATGTAATGCAGCTGAGTTTGAGAAAATTTTTGATTTTCATATCTTAAGTATTAGTTCACTTAATCAGTTTCTATATAGTTGACTGGTTTATTATTATTATTATTATAAATTTAGCCAGAGAATAAATTCTAAGACTAAAGTCTTAAAGCACTAGCATCTAGGGCTATCGGCTTTTTATTAAAAATTCTACCGCACTTGAGGTTTGAACCCACGACTATTGAGTTACTAGTCGAGACTCTTGCCTACTCGGCCACTCAGGCGGATTGACTGGTTTATAAAACGAAGAGTTCTGTGTAAGCACGTATGTGGCTTTGATGGGAAGTGCGTGTGTAAATATGTGTATTTGAGAGTGACGTCACTGTAACAGCCTAAAAAGGGTCTTTTTGGTACCTTTTTTTTGGACGGAAAGAAAGGTACTAGAATAATAACATACTAGAAGATTATGAATCATATATTTAAGTATTTAAAATAATTTCTTTTTAAAAAAATATTACAAAATGGCAGCACTGTAACTAGTGTTACTGGCGCAAATTTGTATCTAAAAAAAAGGGAGTGCTTGATCGAAAAAGTTCTATTTTTCACCAAAAAGCATGCTTTTATTGATAAAATAATGTTTAAATTAATGTTCGTGAATACTCGACATATTTTGAATGAAAAAAATGAAAATTGTTGGAATTATGCTGTATGCTGTTTTCGGTAATCGTGTTTCGAGATAACCAACTTGACATGTTTTGACATGTGCTATGCTACTGACATGTTTCTTAGCACAATAAATGTTACATTATTTTTTTATTTTTTTTTTTTACATTTTTTCGTAATCTCATTACCATAAA